TCACCCAGCCGTCTCCTACCTTGAAGGGTCATAGAGTTGGAGGAGGAGCAGGAGAAGAAAGTTCAATCTCAGAGGCCAGCCTGTAGGAGGAGGCAGCCTTCAGCTCTTCATCCCTTGCAACACTGCCCTGGGCTGGTTCTGTCCTCGGGATCAACAGAAGGAGTGTTACGGGTTCATCCCCAACACCGCAAAGAAAGGGGAGAGTCATCCACAGAATGCGTGGAAAATCCAAAGAGAGGACAGGGAGAGAGAAGGTGAAGGGAGGTGGAAAGAAAGATGGAGGTAGAAATGGCTTCCAGTCCCAGGGTCTTTGTCACCACGGAGCCATGGTTTGTGTCTTGACAAATATATTTATGACTTCTATGTTTGCATTCACCCCATTGGAGTCCACCCCAAAGCCCCTCTGTAGAGCAATGGCCCCGTGAGCCCTGGCTGGTGGCACCTGACACAAAAAGTGCATGGAACCCACGAGGGCCGGGGAGGGAAGGGCTGGTTTTGCATTTCCTGGAGATTCGAAAGGGAGATGTCAGCCGTGATCCCAAAGTGGGACTGTTAGAGGAGAGAAGCAAAAAGAGAATGATAATAGAGTGAATGATAGTGAAATACAGCACGCCTGTGTAGGAACCAGACACCCTGAATCGCACCAAAAACTGCTGAGCAATATGGGGTAGTGGGGAAGGGCTGGTGGAGTTGACATTTCATATTCCCAATTAATCAGAAGAATGAACAACAGTAAACACATATGCACCTAATAACAGCGCCAAAACACATAAAGCAAAACTCAGCAGGACGAATGGAAGAAAACAGGCCAATCTGCAATTATAATTGGAGCCTTTTTTTTTTTTTTTTTTTTGGTGGGACTGGGATTTGAACTCAGGGCTTTGCCCTTGCAAAGCAGGCACTCTATCCCTTGAGCCACTCCTCCAGTCCATTTCACTCTGGTTATTTTTGGAGGTGGGGGTCTCAAAAACTATTTGTCCAGGCTGGCCTCGAACCTCGATCCTCCCGCTCTCAGCCTCCCAAGTGGCTGGGATTACAGGCGGGAGGCACCAGCGCCCACCGTAATTCCAGGTTCTCACGACACTCTCGCAGTCACGGATAGAACGAGCACAAGCAGCCCAGGCGTGGGCGATCCGAGCTGCGGTCAACCGCTCAGCCTTCACTCGTATTTCCACTTGGAAGGACCGAGGCTCCGCGGGGCCGTTACCTGTCCGCGGTCACGCCAGCTCCACCGACTCTTCAACCCCGGAACACCCAAAGTCCAGGAGCGAGACGATGATCCCCGACGTCAGGGTGGCCCCGGGAGGGACCTCGGCCCTGAAATAGGATCCCTGCCTGCCAGGCCCTGGCAAGACCTTGGTTTTGTCATAAATCATCATGGGGTCAGAAACGGGGTCGCCATTCTCTCTGCCCTACAGCCAGCACCATCCCCTTGCTGCAGCTGAGCTGCAGTATCCCTCACTGGGGACGCCCCAAGGCATGCTGGGAGGGGCCGCGAGCTGTCACAATGCGCTGTGTGACTACAGCAGGTGACACCCCATGGGGTTCAGACCCACTCAGATATTGGGGAGCACGATAGCCGAGATAGGAGGCTCAGGGGCACAGACACACCTGTACCTCAAAAGACAAAGGTGGCGCTGGGCACCAGTAGCTCCCGCCTGTGATCCCAGCTACTTGGGAGGCTGAGATCAGGAGGATGGAGGTTCGAGGCCAGCCTGGGCGAATATTTTGTGAGACCCACCCCCCCCCATCTCCAAAATAACCAGAGCAAAATGGACTGGACCCGTGGCCCAAGGTGTAGGCCCTCAGGGGACCATGGGAGAGCAAGTGTGCGGACAGACAGACGGACGGGTGGGCGGGTGAAGGCAGCCTGGGTTCAGGACTCAGAGTGGGTGGCCTGGGGACCCGAATCGGCCCGGTCTGGCACCTGTGGCTTCGTGCGGTAGGAGGGGGACGTGTGCGGACTGTGGACTCCGTCCCATCCCCGAGCACGGCCATCCCAAGCACACAGGACAGACGAACCCCCCCATCAAGGTTTTGGGGGGGTCCCTAACACCCTGCTCTGCGGGGCCGGCTTGCTGGGAGAGTGTCCCAGAAGAATCTGAAAGGTGTTGGGAACCAGGGAACAACAGGGTCCCCCCCCAGCTCCACTCACCTCACCCCAAAGCTGAAACCACCAGCCCGATGGCCGACCTTGGGGTCCTGGCACCACGGTGACTTTGTGACTCACAGCCAGGTTCCGGCCAATCCAGAACCTGGGGCAGGGGGTTCTAGAACCCAGAGCCAGGGCTGGGGAGGGCCGCGGTGGGGGAGGGCAGTGGGGGTCAGGTTTCAAGGTCATGGTGGTTGACTGACCAGTGTGAGCGGGAAGTTAGGGCTCGGAGGCGCCCCGGCTCGAATATGGGACGCTGACGCATTTTGAGGGGCCAGGTTTTCTTGCGAGGTACCCGGGAGCCGGGGGAGGTCTCACAGGGAGGGAGGCAGGAATGGGCTCGGACTTCTACCCTACAACTCGGGGCTGAGGCTGAGGCCGGCCTTCCCGGCTGGGTCCATGAGTCTGGGGGCTGCTCAGGGTGGAGCCTGATCTGACCCGTCTTGGAGAGGCTGTGTCACGCCCAACCGGTGGGCACGGACCCCAAAGCCCCAGCCCAGTGAGGACAGTGTCACCTCCCTCGGCTGGGCCGGAGGCCCAGTGTGACTCACGGCTGGTCAGGCCAGGGCTGACAGAGACCTTGGCCCTGGAGAAGGACACGCTGGCCAGAGCCACACAGCCCGGCCTCCCGCTGGTGGCGTCTGAGCGGGAGACCCCCACCAGGAAGGACAGACATCCCGGCTCCGGCTGGCCGGCCTCCCTCTTCAGATTGGGGGGTTCTCCCAGGTGCCGACTGGGGTTCCTTCTCCCACTGGCAGATTCTCCCTCTGTCCCCCCCAAATGTGGCCCTTGGTGTCCTGTGTCCCCCTCAGTGTCGGGGGGGGAGCCCCATCCTGGGACACCTGCTGCCCTGGCCAAAGGGGAGGTCACATGGCTTCAAAACCAAATTCCCAAACCTTTCTTAGAACCTGGCTTAGTGCACAACCAGGGTGGCCGTGAGGATGGGCAGGTGGACAAGGGCCCTTCTCTCTCTGTGGTCAAGAGACACGGTCAGTGTGGATGGCCTTTGTACAGTTTATCGAATGGGCACAATCCACCCCATGTCCCCAGATTGGGGACACGTGCCACCAGCTGGACGTGGTGTGACATATCCACCGATGCCCACAGGAGCCAGAAACCCATTAACAGCGGCCAGGCCAGAGCAGATTGGGAAGTGGGGGTGTGGGGGGGGTGCAAGGTTCCGGACGAACACTGCCCCTAAAACCCTTTTGTGCGACCCCTGCCACCTGCTCAACCTCGCAAAGAACTCAGGCTTCCTGCAAATGGGCCAAGAGGGTGTTGGGAGGACACCCAAACTCCTGGACCTTTAAAAGGTCCATGTGGCCACGCTTGCATCCCTGGGGGGAGGGGGGGAGGGCCTCCAGGTCCGGCTACTGGTTCTAGGGTGCTGGGTCTCCCTCTCTGAGCCTTGGGCCGCCCAGGCCCATCTCACACACCACAATCAAAGGTGCAAAGTGGACATCAGTTGGTTAAGTACCGAAGGTTGTGCGGAGCGCGCAACGTGCGCGCACCAGCCGGGCCGCGCGCCTAGAGGGCGCTCGCTGCGCGCCAGATGCGCGGGGGCCCGGGGAGGGGCGGGACGGGGACAAGAGGGGGACAGAGGGGGGAGGGGACAGGGGGAGGGGGAGGGCCCAGCCAGGCTCCGCCCACCCTGGGCTCGGCAAGGGGAAGAAGGAGGCGACAGCCGCGCTGGCGTAAGGAGACTTTACTGAAAACAAAACCGGGCGAAACAAGGATTACAGACAGGAATGTGGACTCGTAGCAAAACAACATCAAAAGAAAAAAAAAAGATAAAAAAAATGAAAACAAAACAACAACAAAAAAAAAAGGGCGGGGGATCCGGAAGGAGGAAGAAGGGAGGGTGGAAAAGGAGGAGGAGTCTTTTTTTTTTTTTCTTCTTCCCATTTCTTTAAAAAACAAAAAAATAAAACCCACACAAGGAGACGCACTCGCACACTCATCCGACGCTTGTTCCCGAGTAGAAACATAAATAGGGCAGAACAGAACCGCGCACTCTCTTCTTCTCTCTCCAAAGGCAAAGAACTCACGGGGCGCGCGCCCTCCGGGGCCCGGCGCGCGAAGGCGCGCGAAGGGGCGCAAAGGGGCGCGGGGTGTGCAGCGCGGGGACAGACGCAGCGCGGGGCGGGGGTCGTGCGCTTGGACCCGGAGGGGAGGCCAAGGGGTTGGCGGGGAGGGGGGTCCAGCTTGTCGAGTCCGAGGCTCCCGAAGTTCCGCGCCCTGTCCAAGTCCGGGGAGCCTCGGGGAGGTCCTGGGGGGAGGGGAGGTTTGGGGGGAGAGGGAGGGGGCCGCGCAATCTCCAAAAACCGGGGTGCCCCGAGGGTTGGGGTGGGTGGAGTTCCCCGGAACCGCGCCCTCTCCAAATCTGGGAGTCCTGGGGAGGTGTCCTTGGCTGGGGTGGAGGCGGGGCGGGGGGGGGGAGCCCTCTCCAAGTTCCGGGCGCGCAGGGGGCCGCGCCGTCTCCAAACCTGAGGCCGTCCTGGGGTTGGGGAATTTCCCCACCCCCCCCCCCAGGCCGTACTTTCTCCAAATCGGTCCTGGAGTTGGTGGTGCGGGTGAGGGTGGAGGAGGTCGAGGGGGGAGCTGGAGGGGAGAGGGGGGAGGCCGCGCGTTCCACCCGCCCCGCGGCCGGGGTCCGCGCATGCGCCCGCGCTCGCTCGCGCGCGCGCTCAGTACGCGGGCACCTGGTGCTGGGGCAGCAGCTGGCAGCCGCTGTTGACGTGGCTGAGGACCTTCTGCTTGAGCTGCGCCACCTGCTCGCGCAGCAGGCTGGCGGTGGACGCCAGCTCGGTGTTCTGGCTCTTGAGCGTCTTCACTTTCTCCTCCAAGCGCGAGATGCGCTCCAGCTTACGCTTGCGGCATTTGGACGCGGCGATGCGGTTCCGCAGCCGTTTGCGCTCCGCTTTGATACGCTCTTGCGTGTCCATGTCGATAGGCGACAACGGGGGACTCTCGCCAAAGCTCGGCACATCGGGCACCGTCTGGGGTTCATCCTTGAGCGCAGCCAAACGCGGGGGACCCAGCGCGCCCGGCGGGGGTGGCGGCGGGGGTGGCGGAAGGGCACGGGCTCAGGGGCGAAGGTGACTGTCGCCGCGCCCCCCGCGCCCCCGGTGCCACCCGCGTAGCTGCTCAGGTTGGCGTAGACGGGCGCTTCGGGCGCGGCGGGGGCCGTGGCCAGCTCTCCAGGGGGCGCAGCACCCGAGGACGAGCCCGAAGGACCCCGGTGGCCGCAGAGGTGGCCGTGGCGGTGGCCGCGCCCGCGCCCAGCTGGTTCTGCTTGTGCAAGTCCTCCAAGGCCTTGACGAAGCCCTCGGCGAACTCCTGCTCCTCGCTGGCCGCCACTTTGGGGTACAGGAACTGCGTGCTGGTCGGCGTGGTGGTGACCAGCCCGTTAGACTGGATGATGAGGCGCTCGAGCTCGGGGGACGCCAACTTGAGCAAGCCCAGATCTGGCGATGCCAAAAGGCCGTCGGGGGGCGCCGCGCTCGGGGCGCCATCTGCGCGCAATGGAGCTGGCGGGGGCGCAGCCGAGGGCTTGAGCGCCGCGGCCACCTGCTCGCTTAGGCTCAGCGACAGCGCGTCTTTCTTCATCATGCTGCTGGCCGTCGGGGGCGCCCCCGGGAACAGGCGACCCGGGACGCAAAACTGCCACCAGCACTGCCACTGGCGCCACCACCGCCCAGGCCGCTCAGAGCCTCATCGCCGTAGAAGGGTGTTTCCATCCTCCGCCTCCCCCGCCGTGCGGCCCGGGGAGGGAGGAGGGAGTGGCCGTGGCCTCCCGGGGGCCCGAGCCCCCCCTCCTCGTCGTCCTCCTCCTCCTCCGTCCCGTGCGCCTGGCCCGGCTTTGCGCGCGCCCCGGCCGTAGCCGCTGCGCCCGGGCCTTCCGCTGGCGGCGGCTCCCTGCGCCGCGCAGTTTGGGCGCCCCTTTATAGCCTCGGCCTCAAGCGATGAGCTCACCGCCCCCGCTCGCCATTGGGTACGAGTGACGTCGCTCATTTGCATAACCAGGCGGAGCCAAGCCGCCCAGCTGCGGTTGCCCCGGCGACCTGCGGTAAACTGCACAACAGCGCGTTGCCTTCTGGGTTGACGTCATGGGGGCGGGGCCGCGCTTCCAGGCTCTGGTCACTCCGCCCCGCCAGCCAGCTTTGCAAAGCCAGCCAGCCAGCGCCGTGCACCAGCCGTGTCCCCAAGCGCCGCCTCCCGCCAAGGCACGTCCCCGGGTGGCGTGATGGCTCCCCCCACCCACCCCCGAGGCTCCGCCCCACGCGTGAGGCCCAAGAGAGGGGGATGGGTCCCCGTGTATAAATGACTGCCTGGGCCTCCCCTGCAGGCTGCAGGGCCTCGCTCGGGGTGGGAAGGGGGAGGGGGCTGGGCGGGCCTTGTCCCCTCCCCCAGTCTGTCCAGGACCCCAGGTCTTGGAAACTTAGGGGAAGGGAGAGGAGGGTCTCCAAAGGTTGCTATTTTTGCTAGGTGGAATCTTGGAGGCCAAAAGGGAAACTGAGGCTGGGCAGGCTGGATTGACCTGTCCACCCTAGGGCTAGCTAAGGAGTCAAGGCTGGGCCAGGGTGTGGTACACTGGGCAGAGCTTGTAATCCTGGGCCTGCAGATTGCTGTGGGCAGCCGCCCACGTCCTCCACTAGGGATTGTGTCTGGCTCCAGGTATCCAGCTCAATGGGCCACCTGAGTCCTTCCTCCATGGCGTCCCCTACGTCCCCCAGCAATGCCCCCCCCACTCCTCAGCAGGGCCACACCTCTTCCCTGACCCCTCTGTGACCTCCCTCCCTTTTTGTCCTCCTGGATGAAGGTCCAGCTCGCTCACTGCCACCCCAGGGCCTTTGCATGGGCTGTGTCCAGCTGCCTGGTGGCTTGTTTTGTTTTTCTTTTTTTAAAGGGGCATTTTTGGGGAGCTTCCCACGCCCGTGGAATGAAAGGGTGGACCCTCCTCCCTGGTGGACGGAGCACACCCGGCTCCATGTGCGCTCCAGGTGGGGTCCAGCCTGGAGAGCCGGCCGGCCCCCAGCTGGCCCCTGGCCAGCGCTGTTCTGGGCCTGGTGCCGGCGGTGGGGCCGGTTTAGGGGAGGCTGCGGGGTGTGTAGGAGGCCAGGGAGGCCCCACCCTGACCTTGGGCCTCAGCCTTGGCCTTGGCTGGTGGGGGGATGGACTGACTGGTGAGCTGCAAGCAGGCTGAAATGGCCTTTCTCGAGACCAACCGGCCTTCTCAGGCCCAGGCAGTGTGAGCCTCAGTTTCCCCTGGGGCTCAAGTAAGGTTGTCCGTCCTTGCATTTGGACAGGCTTTGGGTTTGTGTGCCTGAGGTATGGGAAACTCCTACTCACCCTGCAAAACCCACCATCACTGCCTCCTGTCTAGAAGCCTCTTCTAACCCTGTCCCCCCAGGTGGAAGGGCAGGGCCTGGCCAGGCCTCAGCAGGGGGAGCGGTCACCCCACTTCCAAAGCTTCCTTCTACCCACGTCCCCTTCTTCTCACTGTTGAGCTCTCCACATATCCCACTCCTGTGGGGCTCCAGGGACGGGGTGGGGTGGCGTGGGGGGTAAAGCCTTCATGTGTCACAGTCTCCCAGGAAGCAGGAAGAGTACGTGCAAAGGGCCTGGGGCAGGTGCCAGTTACACAGCGAGTTGGGGGTGCGTCCGGCAAGGTCCAGCTGGGGTGGGGGACGGGTGGTAATAAACCGCACCCCCGTTTATGTTTACAGCCCAGACTCTGCACAGAAGGTGTCACCCCTCCCAACACAAAGACCTTCACTTTTTGGTTTAATTGTCAATCTGTAAACCCAGAAAGTGAAGGGGCCTCTTTGGGGAGGGGCGGGGCTGGCAGGGACAGTCCCCAGGTGGCGGCGGGGACCCTGCAGGGCGGGGGAGGATGCATTCCTTAGGATCGGGTTACGGGGAAGGCCCGGCCTCCCCCTCCTCCGTCCTCCCTGCTTCCGGTGGTGCCTGGGGCCCCACGGTGCAGGTGTTCGCCCAGCACCCCCCTCCCAGGTCCTGCTGTCTGTCTGTCTGTCTGGCTGGCTCGATAGTAGCTTCATGAAACCTTCCTACAAGACAGCACAAGACTGAACCAGGCAGCTGGTCCAAGAGAGTGTATGTCTGGTGTTTGTTGATTGACTGACTGATGTTCTGGCGTGAGCCCTAGCACAAGAAGAAAACCTCCCGTGGTCATTCCCCGTGCAGGCAGGACCCCTGCCCACATCCATAAGCTGCATGGCCAGGCCCGGGTTAGGCCTTTTTTTTGTTTGAGGTCCAGTTTTTTTGGGCGTGGGAGGTCAGAGGATCCCGAGTTCGAATTCACAGCACCAACTTCAGACGTTGCTTTGCTGCTCTGGGTTTCTTTGGCACCCACCGTCATCATCCCTCCGGCTAGCACTACGGCAGTGCCGGCTTTGTGCACGGCCGTCAGTCAGTCAACCAACCGTTCTGCCTCTCTCAGCCAGTGCTGAGGGCAGCAGTCTGTTCTTGTCACCATTTTAAGTCCCTTTGTATTTTGCAACAGAAGAGGGGCCTTCGTGTCAGCAAGAATGGGACATCAGCTTGTCTTGAGTCGGGGTGAGACCTGGTCCTCACCCCACCCCGGGGACGGGAGGCGCTCACTGACCCTCAGAGGGTCCTCATGGCACTGTGAGCTGCTGAGCTATTTCCAGGAGGCCTGCGGACCCCAGGGGGCCTCTGTGGGTTGGTTTGGTGACATGAAAGTTCCATGTCCGCCTGGAGGCTGCAGTTGTCCCCACCCACAGCCTTGGGGGCCCTGACGTCCTTCCTGCCCTGTGGGTACAGAAGTGACTGAGCGAGTGATATGTGAGTGACTGAGTGATCACATCATCCTACAGCCTCCATGGGAGCCCACCTTCTAGACCTGCTCTCCAAAACGGGGTGTATCAGTGCTGGACGGGGAAACTGAGGCTGGGCCCAGTGTGCATTCTGAGCTGGGGACCCCGACAGGTGGTGACAAGGCGAGGAGATTTGGGGGGGCCTCCTGCTGGGATGCACAAAGCCAGCCCTGCACCCAGGCAGACACCTCCCGCCGCCAGAGGAAGTGGGGTGCGCCCGTGGGTTCTCACTTCCCGCTGGCCGCGTGGGGCAGGTGGGGGGCGGGGACCCCACTGACGTCAGCCGGCGTCAGATCCGGGCAGGCCTCGTAGACACGGACGTCAGGGTGGTGGCTGGGAGGGGACACTGGGGACACTGAGGCCAGGAGGGGACAAGGCCAGGAAGGGGGTCACTGAAGCCCCCCTCCCCCCCGGGGAGGGGTCACCGAGGTTGGGGAGGAGTCATCACCGAGGCCAGGGAGGGGACACTGAGGTCCCCTTCCCCCTCCCCCTTCCCTTTCCCCTCCCCCTCCCCGGCCCCTCCCCCCAGCCCAGCGCTAATTGAATGCAGGTGGGGGAGGGGCGCCACCCGGCCCCGTTAACCCCGTCCCCGCCGGTTCTGCACTGGGTCCCGCTGGAACCTGGATCGCAGGAACAGGAAAGGGGACATGGGGTCACCGGGAGGGAGGAGGAGGCCGGGGAGCTGGGCCTACGGTGGGGGGGCAACTGGGGAGGGAAATGGGGACCCACGGAAGGATGGGGACAGAGAAAAGGGTGGCGGTGACAGAGCCACGCTTGGCTTGTGCAAGCCCCTGGTTCCACCATGGCAGACAGACAGACAGACAGGCATCCATACGGAGCAGACTCCGTGGCCGCCCCATCTGTTTTTCACGGGGACCGTGGCCCTCGGCACCTTGCAAGCAAATCCTACAGGAGTGGACGATGAGCTGGCCCTAGATAGTGTGTGGTGCCGGGGACTCACAGGTCACCTGCAGCTGCAGGCACCCAGGCAGGCTCCCTGGAGGAAGTGGCCCGACCTCTGACAGGGCCTAGTGTCCTTAATGGGTTGTCCACCTTACCCAGGCACCTAAGGATCACCACAAGTCATCCCCACCCTGTCCCGACAGCCTTGGGTCAGGCTGGAGGACTCAGACACAGAAATGTCACCTTTGGCCTTCTGTCCCCCACCTGGGGAAACTGAAACTCCCAGACACATAGGCAAGGCCTCTGACCCATGACCCCACGTCCTGGGGTCCACGGGAGCCCCAAAGTGAGGTGGCAGGAAAACACACCATGTCCGAGAGGGAGTCAGGTGGCAGAGGGGCTTCGGAGGGTCCGTGACATTTTGGACTGTAATGGCAGGTGCAAAGGCCCTGGGGTGCCGATTCGGGGTGCGAGTGGACATTGGGGGCTTACGTGGGTGGGAGGAGGAGTCACACGGTACCCAGATGCCAGCAACCAGGATGGCAGTGCTCTGAGGCCTCAACTCACACTGAAGTCTCTGCCTCAGTTTCCCCACCAGTGTCCACGCTCCAAAGGAGGCAGCTTTGGGAGGTGCCCTGCTCAGTGCCACCCTGGCCTCCCCACCCCCACCCCCGTGGCTCCCTGTCCGTTCTTCCTCTTCTGGACTTCCATCCCATGACACCCCGCTCCGTCCGTCGGCACTGCAGGGCAGATGTGCAGGTGTGGCGGCCGGAAAGGGCGGCTCCCCCCCCCACGAGGACGCGGCCATGGTGGGGATGTGCCCGGTGGCCGTGGCCACTCTGACCCAGCTGCAGAGGCAAAGGCAAAGGCTGCACCTGCCCGGACTGTGCTCAGCCCCCACGGCCACCATGGGGAGGGAACGAGGTGCAGCCAGCGGGGAGCCTCAGTCACTCAACAGACGTGTCCTGCTACGAGGTCGGAGGTCGGGGTACTGATGGCTCTGCTCTGAGTGTCCAGTGGTGCCCCATGCGCCCACCCGCCTGTCCACCCGTCCGCCCACCCATCCGTCCGCCCGTCCACCCGTCCGCCCATCCACCCGTCCATCCATCCACCCATCCATCCATCCGTCCACCCATCCATCCACCCGTCCACCCGTCCGTCCATCCACCCATCCACCCACCCATCCACCCGTCCACCCGTCCGTCCATCCACCCATCCATCCATCCACCCATCCGTCCACCTGTCCATCCACCCACCCGTCCACCCGTCCATCCATCCACCCATCCATCCATCCGTCCACCCATCCATCCACCCGTCCACCCACCCTTCCATCCACCCATCCGTCCATCCATCCACCTGTCCATCCACCCACCCATCCACCCACCCATCCACCCACCCATCCACCCACCCACCCATCCACCCATCCATCCATCCATCCACCCATCCATCCACCCATCCATCCACCCGTCCACCCGTCCGTCCATCCACCCATCCATCCATCCATCATCCACCCACCCGTCCACCCATCCACCCATCCACCCACCCATCCACCCATCCATCCACCCATCCATCCACCCGTCCACCCGTCCGTCCATCCACCCATCCATCCATCCATCCATCCATCCATCCATCCATCCACCCATCCATCCACCCGCCCGTCCACCCATCCATCCACCCATCCGTCCATCCACCTGTCCATCCGTGCACCCATTCACCCGTCCATCCACCCATCCGTCCACCTGTCCATCCACCCACCCGTCCACCCGTCCATCCATCCACCCATCCATCCATCCGTCCACCCATCCATCCACCCGTCCACCCACCCTTCCATCCACCCATCCGTCCATCCACCCACCTGTCCATCCACCCACCCATCCACCCATCCATCCATCCACCCGTCCATCCACCCGTCCATCCGTGCACCCGTCCACCTGTCCGTCCACCCGTCCATCTGCCCGTCCACCCTCCGTCCGCCATCCACCCATCTGTCCGTCAGCCCCCCTCCTCCATTTTTGCAGGCAGTCAACACTGACAGAGCCCCTCTGTGCCCGTCCTCAGCACACGATGGCCGCAGGGTTGACCCGAGCGTCCTGTCTGTGCCTGGTTTCCCCGACTAGGAAATGGGCGGATGAGTGGGGTATCCGCAGGGCGGGGAAGGGTTTAGAGCTCGTCCTTTTTCTCAGCGCAAATGTCCTGTGTCCTTCAGCTGAGGAGGGACAAAGTGGGAGGGACCTAGCGGTCCTGCGAGGCTCTGGGCTCCTTCCCAGCACCAAAAAAAAACAAAAACAAAAAAACCCCCAAAATAATAACAAAAAAACTGAATTTCATGTTTGTCTTACTATCAATTTTTTTATAAGAAAACAAGTTATGTTAATAAAAACAAAATTACAAAGAACCAAGTCTCGTGAGTATTCGAGGTCAGCAAGGCCAGCTGTGGACTCGCCTGGCTGAGTCACCGGGCAGGTGCCACACGCCCGCCCGTCAGTGTCAGCGTCCCCAGCTCGCTCCGCTGCTGCCCGCCTGCCCCAGGCCCTTTGCACCTGCTGCGCCCCCGGGCACCTGACACCCTGGATCCCACCCTGGTGGTCAGGGTGCTCTTGTGTGTCCCTCACTGTCCTTCTGTGTCCAGGAAGGGCTTGGTCAGTTGGGGGAGTTGACGAATGAGCACAGGAGGTGACCCGGGAGGGGACAGTGCAGCAATTTGGGGAGGGAGTAGGACCTTGACCCATTGGTGGCACAGGTGGACAAACATCTTAATTAAAGGCCACACGGCGCTCGGGGGAGGGAGGGGGACGACAGGCGTGGCCACCACGCCCAGCCGGCTTCCCAGGACGAGGTGGGGGGGGGGCAGGGGTGTCCCCTGAACAGGGACTTGGGGTTTCAGGAAAGGCCCCCTCGGGAGGACTGAGGACGGAGGAGACGCGGAGGGAGGGGACGCGGGGGACCGGGTATTTTTAGGTGCTGAATGCAGCCCTGAAATATTTTCCTGGCCACTCCCAGGAGCGAGCTGGGTGACGGCTTCGGAGCCTGGTTCCAGCAGGGGCGGGCGGGATGGCGGCGGGTGACTCATGGCGGTGGCCACAGAGGAGGTGGCGGGAGGGGTTGGGCGGGGATGGGGGATGGGGAGGGCTTGGTGGCCTACGGGTGGCCCCAGGACCGGAGGCGCTCGGCAGCCCCACGGCTGGTGGGAGGAGGTCACAGCCCACGAGAGAGCGAGCCGTCGATGCTTGGATGGCTTCGTGCACTTCTTGAGTGCTTCCCGTGTACCAGTCGGGGCTTAGGGGTTGCCGCACCTGCATTTCCTCAGCACCTGCTGTATACCAGGCCAGCCCGAATACGGCCACCGGGAGCGGGGCTGCTGAGGAAACCGAGGCACAGCGGGGTTAAACTTCCTCGGGTGACATGGCCTGACTGCCTCCGTCTCAGGGCCCGGGGTCTTTGCTTGGCCGGCCTTTCCTGCCATCTTTTGTTTCTCTGCGGGCAGGTCCTGAACTAGCCATGGACTCCGCCTCTCGAATGCTGGGTCACAGGCGTGGCCGCCGTGTCACCTGGCCTTTCTCCCGTTTTTTTTTTGGCGGTGTTGGGATTTGAACTCAGGACCTTCACCTTCAGCCACTCCACCAGCCCTATGTGTGACTTTTTTTTGAGTTAGGGGCTCAAGATCTTTTCAGGGCTGGCCTTGAGCCACAATCCTCCTGGGTGACAGGCGCGAGCCACCACATTGTCACCTTCATGTCCACCTCTTGCCTGCCGCGTGTCCCCCATCCCTGCCTTTTCAGTGGTTGGCTTGTGGCCGGCTGGCGGGACTGAGTGACCCCTGGTCACTGGCTGAGAGCTGGTGCCAGGCTGGGTGCGTAGGGTCACCTATAGGAAGGGTGGCCTGAGGTGGCCGCGGGCCCGGTGGCCAGCAGCAGGACACGGGGGCCAGGCTGGGCGGTGCCTGTGTTCTTTGGGTTTCTGTCCTGGAGCAGATGGAGCTGTGGCTTCCTGAGCACAGCAGGGAGGGGACCGGCCAGCGGGCAGGGAAGTGCGGTGGCCTGGTGGCTGGGACGGGGACATGGGCCAGGAGCCAGAATGTGCGGTGAGGCCAGGGATGCGGGTGGCCTGGATGGCGCAGTGTTGGAGGCCTGAGGCCATGAGGACCAGCCATAAGCTCTAGGGACACCGGGGACGTCTGGTGGCTGGGCAGGGGAGGAGGCAGAGAGGCCCAAACCCGGCTGTGGTCAGCTCTGCGTCTCACCATGGAGGGACCAAGAGCCCCAGAGCTGCTGGCCAGTGGCCGCTGAGGTCAGGGACTGTGCAGGGCAGATGTCCCTGGTCCCATTGCATGAGGACGGCGTGGCGGGTGTCCCGGGAGCAGGTGTGAGGCCTGGACCCGACCTTGTCCCTGACAGGCACCAAGGTGCTGCAGTGGCTGGACGCGGCGGCCAGGCCTGTGACCCGACCCAACGTGAGGGAGACCAGTGCGCTCCAGGCCGGTCGGGCCGCGCAGCAAAACCCCACCTCAGAAGGCTCGGGCACCTCGGAGCCTCGGCAACGGAAAGGGACCAGGGGACAGCGGGGCAGCGCAATGCCCTCCCCGGGGGCTGTGGACCGGGCTCTGCACCCTGTGCCACACACGCTGGGGACAGAGGCCCGCGCGCGGCCCGGCCTCCCCCGCGGAGGGAACGACGGCTGAAGCGCTGACGCTGCGTCTGGGGAAGGAGGCGAGAGCCACTGGAGCTTCCGCCCTTGGTGGCTGTGGTCACGGCTTCCCCGGGTGACACTGTGCTGGGCACCTGCACAGGCCAGCTGGTCCCTGCCGTTCCCCAGCGAGCCTCCCCACCCTCCGTGCGGCCTGCGCTCTCCTGGCTGGAGGAGTGACCTGCGTCCGTCCTGTTAGACGCCTGCTTGGTGCCACCGTGGTCCCTGGGGACGGGTGCCCGAGCCAGGAGGCGGGTTGGGGGGACGCCTGGTGTCAGGACGCAGCGCTCCGTCCCCCACATGTGCACGGCCTCTGCGGAAGCCGTGTCCCTGTCACTTCACTGAGCACCACCGTGGCCTCGGGGCCTCTGGTGACTGTGACCTTGCTTGAGGGAGGCAGAGGTCAGAGCAGGGGACCACAGATGGCCGCGAGGGTCTCAGAACAGCACCCGGGGCCAGGCGGCACCGGGAGGGCTGTGTAGCTTGTTTAAATTGCTCCCGAAGGAAAGTCTGGGGCTGGCGGCACGGCGCCTGCCGAGCGAGCACGAGGGAGGCCAGGTTCAAATCCCGGTGCCGCCAGGAGTACAAACTGTGCCGGCCGCGTGGAGAGAGCCGTGTTGTAACCCGTGGGCAGGGCAGGATCGCTGCGGTGGGTTTTATTCCGTCACACGGGGAGGGAAGGGGACAGCGGTGGGGTCCAGGCTGGGTGTGTGGAAAAGGTGACAAGGGCGTCACAGAGCCCGTGGGCTGAGTCTTGGCAGCGCGCAGGACGCACACAAAGTGGCCTGGGCACATCGGCCTGCCAAGCCAGGGACCAGGGACGCCGAGAGCCAGGGCCTCCAGGCACAGCTGGACGGCGACTCACAAAGCGACCTGGCGACATTTCCAAGGCAGGACAGTTTCCCTAAAGAGAACAGAGGGGGCAGAGAGCGCCTGCCGCTCACAGGCCCTGAGTTCAAGCCCAGTGCCGCCGCAGGACGGGGTCACCTGAGGGCCCCGCGGCAGGCGACTCCAGCACGGCGCTCACTGCTTGCCCGCCTGTCTGCCCGGCTTCTTCTCCGGCTGCCCTCGGCCCGTGCCTGGGATCCCGCCGCGACCGCGGCCACCAAACACACCTGCGGGACACGGGGGGGCTGGCTGCAGGGGACCGCAGTGACCTCCCAGTCAAGGGCCTCGTGGTGACGCAGGCTAAGCGAGGAGCTGGGCCAGGCCATGGCAGCCGCGTCACAGGCACCGGGCCCGTCTGGGGAGGGACGGTCACCCCAGTGACAGGCCTGGGGACAGAGGACACCTGTGCCCGCATGGGCATCCCTGTGGCGTGGGCCACACGCCTACCTCGGCCAGCGCCACCCAGGCCGCGGCCCTTCTGCTGCTTCTGCTGCTGCAGGCCGCCTCGCCCGCGGCCCTTGGCCACTGCTTCGTCCTTCACCATGTCGATGACCTCGTCGGGGATGCGCAGGTACTTGATGGTGCTGCCGCGGATGTAGCACTCCGGCATGCGCCAGAACTTGTCCCCGTCCTGCGGGAAGGAGTGTCACCACGTCCCGCTCTGCCCGGCCATCGCGGGCACCCGGACACCACTGTCCCTGCGGCCGGGCGCTGGACGGGGCTCGGGGCCTCAGTGCGCAGGGGAGGCTCGCAGATGGAGGCGGCCTCCGTCCTCACCCGCCGCCTCCCTCTGGAATGCGCTCTATGGACCCCAACTCAACAGCTGGACAAGGGCACCGGGGGCAGCTGGACAGTGACCTGGACAGCTGGGTGGACAGAGGCCACGGCAGCTCCTGCTCACCACCCTGTGGCTCCAGGCTGAGGTGCAGAGCCCGTGGCCGCGAGCCTTCCCGGCCCTGACCCCCCACACGTGTCCCGTCTCCCGTCCTACCAGCCCCAGCCTGGACAGGCCTCGGCTTCAAGTGCCCCGGGCCCGCCGGGTACCCCAGCGTGGAGGTCCCGGGCAGGGACACATGGCTTCCCAGCACTGGTGGACTGAGGCGAGGGCTGAGGGTGGTCGGAGCCCAGGCCAGGTCCAGCTGGTCTCCTTGTTGCAGGACCAGGGCTTGGGGACAGGCACAGGCCAGAGACACTGAAGGAGGCAGTGGCCACCGACTCCTGCTCTTCTGTGGGCTTCTGCAGGAGACCCCGGAGGCCAGCCAACTGTGCTCCTAGCTGGTCACTTCCTGGCAGGATGGTGGCCTGGCAGCCCCAGCTGCAGCAAGTAGCCAGAAGAGAGTGGACACCTTTCACAGCTGTGGCACCAGGGGTGGGCGTGAGGTCAGGAGTAGCTGTCCGTGTCCCCACCTGCCCACCAGCCTGAGCCCCTGGTCAGGGGCGGCCCCTGGACTGGCCAGGGCAGAGGTGAACACTCCTGTAGGAGGCCAGGACAGTGAGTGGCGCCCGCTCACCCGGGACGTGCAGATCACCTCCCGCAGGTTGATGTTCATCCAGTTGTCGCAGCTCACCAGGTGTCCGTTGTAGGTCTCCCCGTTCTTCAGCTCCACCAGCTGCGAGGGGCAGGGCTGTGTCACCCGCGCGGGAACCCAGGCCCCACAGCGGCCCAGAGGAAGACCAAGGACCACGGTCAGCCGCTGACCCAGCGCCACCGGATCCGAAAACCCAGTGCGAAACACAAACGTTGTCTGCAGCTCTTCCGAGGGGACCAGGGACACGGGCACGCAGGACACACGCTCACACGGCGGGGAGGAGGAGCCCAACCGTCCACAGGTCCAGCACCCAGCCCAGCGCCCCCCGTCTGGGACCCCGAGCACTCACCATGGGGTGGTTCTGCGCCGTCTTCAGCAGCGACAGGGGCAGCTGCAAGGAGGAAAGCGGCGTGAGTGTCACCCGAGCCACCCCCACTCCCACCCCCCAGCGGTGACATGGCCACCACATCACAGGGCCCATCGGCCGTGGAGAGGCTGAGAGGACGTGAGCCTGCGTCTGCGCTCAGCACGGACAGTCCTCGTGCCATCCCCGAGCGGCAGTGTCACAAGCGTGCAGCCCTAGGTCACGCTGCACAGGGTCCTGGGCTAGAGGACGAGGACAAGGACGAGGACGAGCGCAGGCCCCGTGAGACACCAGCGACAGTGCAGAAGACTGCGAGCCCAGGAGGCCTCGGTGGCCCTGTTGTGGGTCCCCTGGATGACAAGTGTGGCTGTCACCCCCAGCCACCGGCGTCCTGGGGTGGACAGGGAGGCGCAGTCCAGGTCCCTCACACCAACCCAAGGAGGCCACGTCTGGGGCTCACACAGCAGCTCAGCAGGTGGAAGCAGAGGAATGTTCCAGAAACGCAGCTATCACACAGGGTGGTAGAAAAGGACAGAGGCGTCACACGCCCGGGTCAGCCGGGCCTCCCGGGTCCTTTGGCCACCACTGACTTTCCTTTTGGTTTTGGAGACGAGGCCTCCCGAGGAGCGGGAACCACATTCGTGGCTCAGTGTGTTTTGGGGCGCGGGCTCCGGACGGGGCACAGGCTGGGCAGAGCTGGACGCCCACTCTGTTCACCTTGGGACCTCCACGGTCCCCACAGCCTAGCCCCGCCTCACCAGTGACTGGAATCCCGGGCGGCTGTGACCCTGGCCTTGGGGACAGCCCCAGCCAGCAGGAAGCCAGGCCCAAGCCACTTCCTGCGTGGCTTCCTGGAAAGCAGGCCACAGGGTGGGAGCTGTGTGGGTGACACAGGGCCTGGTTCTGGCACTTGGGCCACACCTGGTCCACCCTGCAGGAGCCATGCCCTGTGTCCAGGTCCACACTGAGATAGGGACCTAAGGGATGAGACACATAGCCCTCCCCAGGTCACTACAGGGGCTGGGACAGCCTGGCAACTCTGCAGACAGGACACCAGTGGCCACCCCAGGAGGAACCTGCCCAGCACGGTCCTGGGAGGACCAAGGCCTCCAGCAGGTGACCGCAGGTGTCATGCTGTGCTGCACACACCTTCTGCATTGGGGACTGTCACTGTGGGTCACCAATGGACCCTGCAGGCAAATCCCTGTACAGCACAAAGTCCTAGAGCGCAGGCAGTGGCGAGCAAGCTGGGCACACAGAGGCCAGGGCTGCGACCCCAGCACGGGAAGACATTTGGTGTGAAAGAGGGGTGTCGGGAAGGACACAGATGGGGCCCCCAGACAGCCTCCGCCCTGCCCCTGGTGGTGGCCCTCAAATGTCCCCTGCCCCACCCGGCCCGCTAATGAGCACCTGAGCCAAGCTGCAGGTTCCCATCAGAGCCGTCGGCCTCTAATTACACCTGTTTACCGCGTCTCCCCGACTAGACGGAGACACACGTGGGTGTGGCCCGTCCAGGGCCAAGTGCCATGGCTGGCCAGGTGCCAGCCCTGGGCCTCGTAAACACTTGTGTGAGGACATCCGGGGCCAGGTGGCTGGGCCCCGACTGCTGCCCTACAGAGGGACAAGCGGCAGGGACAGATGAGACACTTGGAGGCTGCAATGCCCACGCCTGGCCTTCCTCTTCGCGCTCAGCCCCAGTGCTAACAGAGACAGAGGCCAGGACCAGGGCCGGGTCCCAAACTTCAAGGGGTTGGGGACATAGCGCTGTCTGAGCCCAGGCAAGGTCCGCGTTCCTCCCCAGCACTGCACAAAAGGTGCTCAAAATGCCCAGGGGGCCGGGGCAGACGCACGCGGTCAGGAAAAATTTCTTGGGGTTTTTTTGCAGCACTGGGGTTTGAACTCAGAGCCTACAACCTGAGCCACCCCACCAGCCCTTTTTTGTGATGTTTTTCAAGATAGGATCTCGGCAACTACTTGCCTGGGCTGGCTTTGAACCGCAATCCTCCTGATCTCTGCCTCCTGAGAAGCTGGGATTACAGCTGTGAGTCACCACAACCAGCTTTTGTTTTTTTTTGGTTTGTTTTTTTTTTTGATTTTTTGAGACGGGTTCTCATCCTGTTGCCTAGACAGGCTTGGGATTTGCCATCTCCCGCCTCAGCCTCACAGCTGCACAGGTGCGGCCATCACGCCCAGCTTTCTTAGAACATGGGGGTCCCTTCCTAGGCCACTGTGGGCGGAGGACTGGGGGCTACTCGGGGCCTCTCGAGACGGCGGCGGGAGAGTGTGGAAGCCCCTTGTGAGGACGGTGCAGACACTGCTTCAAACTCGGATCAGAACAGAGACCCTGGGCTGGGCGGGGCTCAGGTGGTGGAGCGCCTGCCCAGCAGGTGCAAAGGCCCCGAGTTCAAACCCCAGTGCCACTAAAAGAAACAGAAAACCCGAGGTCCTGCCATGTTTTCTCCAAATGGCAAAGACATGGGGATTTTGCTGCTCTGCCTGAGCCCTGGGGTGGCCTGGGCCTCACGTGGCCGTTTGAGACCCGCTCTCCCCCTCCTGGGCTCCCTCAGAGAGAGACAAGACTCCTGGGACTACTGTCCACCCCGGGGTCAGGGATCCTGGTCTTGTCCTTCCCAGGACTTGGGGGTCCTGTCCACCTCGGAACTTGAGGTCTTGCCCATCCTGGGATTCAGGGACCTGTCTATCTGGGAATTCAGGGTCCTGTCCACTGAGGCACTCAGGGACCTGTCCACCCCGAGATTTGGGGACCTGTCCATCCCGGAACTCAGAAATCCTATGTACCTCACAACTTGAGGTCCTGTCCACCCAGGGACTCGGGGGTCCTGTCCACTTCGAGACTCGGGGTCCCGTCCACCCCGGGACTCGAGGTCCTGTCCACCCCGGGACTCGAGGTCCTGTCCACCCCGGGACTCTGGCTATTTTGCAAATAGGCTATCCTCCCAGGCTGGCCTCGAACCCCGACCCTCCGTACGGCAGCCTCCCCAGCAGCTGGGATTACAGGCGGGCCCGCGCCGCCCGGCCCGGCCCCATGTGCCCCCCGGGACGCCGGCCGCCCGAGCCGACTTCACCCGGGAACTCGGGCTGGACCCCAACTTGCTCCCTGAACCCCAACCCGCGCCCGCTCCCATATGCAAAACGAAGAAAGTACGGCTAGGCCGCTGCGTTAAAGACGGGCCGACCCCGGCCTCAGTTTCCCCGCCTAGGACCAGGGGGCGGGGCTCCACACTCGGCCTGCACGTCCTTCCCATCCCTCCACGAGCCACCACGAGGGCTCCCAAGGGGCGCCACCCAGGCCTGTAGGACAACCCGTGGGCGCCCGGCCCTCACCATGCTGTCGGCGGGGACCGGGCTCACCGGCCACTTCCGCCACCGCCGCTGAATCCACAGCCGCTCCCGCTCCCGCCGGTGACGGCCCAGATGCGCGCCACAAGGCTGAAAAGGACTGGCAGACACGCGAGCCAATCAGCGCGGGGCTTGAAAGAAACAAACCAATCATCGGGGGGGAGGGCGGGAGCCTGTGGGTCATGGTGGGAGGGGCGAGCCGTGTTCCAGTCCAAGGGATAAAGGGCGAGGGTCGTAAAGCAGACCCGCGAGTGATGTAAAAGGACGTGGAGTAAAGGCGCGCCGACTCGCGGTGTGTTGTGGGTAAGTACGCATGCGCAATGCCGACCCCCGCTGGCCTCCCGGGCTCCTCTCCGCGGGAGAAGAAGGTTTTGCAACCGCGAGGGAGAAAACAGAATCTGAGGTTATCTCGGAATGCATTCTCATTATGATCCTCTTTATTATTATTAAGTAGGATTATTGTTGCTTACATGCAGACAGTTGGGGGGGCTACATCTGATAACGGAGATGCTGGCCAGAATGTGGCATGGTGGACAACCCTGGACCGCCAATCTTAAAACTTAGCAGTTGTTCATTTCTGTGATTTTTTTCCACTTACTGTTGGTGGAGTGTAGCTGAGTCTGCGTGCCCGAAACTCTAGAAAGCGAAGGCAGGGTAAAGGGCTCCTCGGTAGCACAAAGTGGATGCCTTAGCCCCGCATCTCGCAGCTGGACTCTCAATCTCACATCTGGGTGCCACAGGGCTGGGGACAGCTGTCCCCTGGTGCTGGTGGCTGTCCATGCATGCATCGATCTGCAAGTGGCCTTCTGTGTCAGCTCAGCCTCTTTTTTTTTTTCCATTGCTTTTGTCATTTTTGCAAGACCGGGGCGTCCCCGAGTCCAGGGTCCTCTCATCTGAGGACCCAGGTGACACCTGCAAAGCCCTTTTTCGTTTAAGGTCACTTCCAGGTACCAGAAAGTCAGGACATGGACACAGACTTAGCAGGATACTGCTCTGAGGCGTTGATTGTTATTCTTTTGGCAGCCCCGGAATCTGACCTCAGGGCCTCGCACTTCCTCAGCAGGTGCTCTACTACTTGAACCACTGGGCCAGCCCTTTTATATCGTGAAGGGAGTTTTGGAAGTAGGGTCTCACAAACTATTTCCCAGGGCTGACTTCGAACCGAGGCCCTCCTGATCTCTGCCTCCTGAGTAGCTGGGATTACAGGCGTGAGACCCCATCTGTAAAAAGGGACTGGAGCCAAAGGGACTGGAGGTGTGGCTCAGACGAGCACCTGCTTGTAAGTGCAAAGCCCTGAGTTCAAATCCCAGTCCCACCAGAAAACAAGAAAAGAGAAAAAAAAAAACAAGGAGAAGAAGACAGTGCTTCGGTTCACAGGGGTCTGTGTGACCCCAGTGTGGACAGTAAGAGCCGGCCGGTCCAAGCCCTGTGAGGGCCAGGGTGTGAAGAGGACACAGGGGACGCCCATGGTGGTCAGGGGCCAGCTGGGTCAGAGGTGGCCAGTGCCCGCCCGGCCTGCTGGATGTAAACAGAAGGAGGGAACGTGACCTGTCACCACACCCAGGCAGCGGGAAGTGGGCAGGGAGTCCAGGCCCGGCCTCTCTTAGGACTTTTCTAGACTTTTCCACATGCAAAAGTCTGGTCACGCTGGAAACCTCTGCGGGGTGACCTCATGTGGCCAAGGACGGTCACTGCAGGCTTGGCACCTTTTTCCCCTCTTTTTTCATTTTGGCAGCACTGGGATTTGAACTCAGGGCCTCACATTTGCTAGGCAGTCACTCTTGCACTTGAGCCACCCCACCAGCCCTGTTTTGTGATTTTTTTTTTCCAGGATGGGGTCTGGTGAACTATTTGCCTGGACTGGCTTTGAACCTCAATCCTCCCGATCTGTGCCTCCCAAGTAGCTGGGATTACAGGCGTCAGTCACAGCAACCAGCTTCATACAGTTCAGATGCAGTCTTTATTTAAAATTTTTTTTCTAATGGCTTGAACCTGTGAGGACCGGGAGTTGGTTTGTGCATTGGGGTCACACGACCTGACTTCTCTGGGGACCATTTGGCTCCCACCTGTCCTGCTGTTGCTCTCGCACAGCCCCAGGCCAGTTCTCTCTCAGATTTTCAGGGTTTTACCTCCGGCTGCCAGGCACTCAAATAACCACTGAACTGTGCCGTCAGGCCCAGGCTGGCTGTGCAGAGGGGAGGACACTGGCCAGCCCACTGGGCAGGTGCCCAAGGGCGGAAAGAAGAGGCGGGCGGGGTGTGGGGGACAGTCATCCTCCAGTGTCCTGGCACATGGGGAATTAAGATGTCGGTGGCCCAAATCCAAGGTCCAGCCGTGCCTCTAAGGACACAGCTGTTTTTGGAGAAATTCTGGCAGAGGTACAGGTTGGCAGGGGACGCTGGGGGCAGTAGGGCACACACTGACGTCCCAGAGGAAAGGGGAGACTTCTGGCCCCTGGGCTGCAGAGAAGATGGAACAAGGGAAGGGGACAAAGCACCCTTGGAGGAGGTGACAGTGACCATTGGAGCTGAAGCTGGAAGGAAGGAGGAGGAAGCAGCCAGGTTTTCCATGTAGCTGGGGCCGGTGCAAAGGCCCTGAGGGCAGCCGGACTGGGGAGGAGGAGGAAGTGCTGGTCTCCGGGGTCACACTAGTTTCCATGGCAACAGCCAAAGGTAGCTGGCTGGGTTTTCCGGTCTTTATTCCCTCCCTCCACCTCGTGGTCAGCCATTGCAAGGCTCTACCCCAGTGGCCTTGGGCAGGTGGCCTGCTAGCCTGTGCCTCAGTTTCCTCATCTGTAAAACGTGTTGAATCAGAAGGGTTGGCTTCTGTCCCCAACCCCCGGCCCCCAGGTCACTCTGGGCAGTGTGCATACAGCAGGCGCCTAATGAGCAGAGTCAATGATCGGCGCGTCCTCGGCGCCTGGCCCCACGCGTGTCAGCAGCCACGCCGTGCGGAGCAAACGTCCCCGTCTTACGGGTAGGGAAACTGAGGCTGGGAAGGGCAGGGCGAGGCGCCTCAGGCTGCGGCGGTCGCGGGTACGGCGCAGAGCGCGCGAGCCTAGTGGACCCAGGGCGGTGCTTGGGTGAGCGGGGGCGCGCACGTCTAGACGCCCGTGGGGCGGTGCCTGGGCAGGAGTGGGGGCGCGCACGTGTTGACGTCTAGGGGCGGGGCCTGGCTGGGTCCAGGGGCGCGCACGCCTAGACGTCCACGGTCGGGGTCTGGGTGTGACCGGGGGCGCGCACGCCTAGACGTCTGGGCACGGCGTCTGGTTGAGGCCGGGGGCGCGCACGCCGAGATGCCGACAGGGTTGTGGCCTGAGTGAGACGTAAGCACGTAGGCCTAGCGGCCGCCCGGGGACGAGACGGGGGCGGGATCGGGGTCGCGCACGTCCAGCGGGTCAGAGGCGGAGCCTGGGCGAGTTCGGGGGCGCGCACGCATAGCCCTCCGGGGGGCGGCGCCTGAGCGGGACGTAAGTGCGTATGCCTAGCGGACGGACAGGGGCGTGGCCTGAGTGTGACGCAAGGGCGCACGCCTATCTGGCCTTCGGGGGGCGGGGATTGGGGCGTGGCCTCGATTCTAGGGGCGTGGCCACCCAGCTCCGGGAGGGCAGCGGTGGCCGCGCCAGTCCCCAGGCCAGCGGGTCGGAGGCGCAGCGCCTGCCCGCCATGGAACAGCCCAGGAAGGCGGTGGTGGTGACCGGTACGTGGCGGCCGGGGACGACGGGGCGGGCGGGGGAGGGGCGAGGCTGGTGTCCCCAAGTGTCCCAGGTTGGGAAGATGTCACCGCCGGCGGGAGCGCGGTCAGTCGGGGCGACCCAGGAAGTGGTGGGATGGCGACTCAGGTGCGGGACCTGTCCCCGGGATGGGGGGGACACCCACTTGCTGCTGCCCCTCTCCCGATCGGCCTGTCCCCTCCCCTCGTCCCCCGAGTTGCGGGCAGGAAGTGTCTCCGCGCCCTGCATTAATGGAGGGATTGTCGCCACGCACCCCAGAGGCAGGACAGGACCCGAGGTCCTCTGGACACCTGCTGTCCCTGCCATGTCCTCTTCTGCTGGGCTGTGGTTGGCTGAGCCAGGTGTCACCAGCTCCCCTGAAACCAGCTGTCCCTGCAAGCCTCGGGCCACTTGGTCCACTTCCGCCAGGCCTGGGAGTGGGGGTCACTTTGTCCTGCTGTCTGTCTGCAGGGGACAAGTGAGGGAAGTTAGCAAAAGTTGCAACAGGTGTTGTGACCCAGCCAGGTGGGGCTGGTCCCGTCATTCCCGGAAAGTGGAAACAGCCCCCCATCTGTCCCCCAGCACCTGCCTCGCAGGTGTGTGCAATTGTGGGGTCCCCGCCCCCGCCGTCACCCGCAGCTGCTGGTCATTTCTGGACGCGGGCTGAGGCCTCAGAGGTCACCATGCTTGTGAGCGCTGGGCCGGAGCTCAGAGTCCATCGGAGCCAAAGGGAGATGTAGCCAGGCCCCCCCCCCAGATGCTGTCGTCCCCAAGCTCCTCAGGGTGTCTGTGTCATGACCTTGACCTCACCTGGGATCCTGGCCCAGCTCGGGGAGTCTCCCGACAGCTGTGTGACCTGGGCACAACTGGCCACAGTCTCTGTGTCCTTGCTTCTGGCGGGCGGGTCTGGGAAGCACTGTCACCTAAAAGCTGTCGATGCAGGTCACTGAGCATGGCTGGCCGCCGGCCACTGTCCTGTGTGACCAGCGGGGCTGCAGTTTGAGCCCGCAGGGGACAGAATGGCAGGATGGTAGCATACACCCCTCCAGGGCCAGTCCTCGTCCCGTCCCGTGGTGACTCAGACACCGACAAGGTCCCAGTGATAAAATAACAACAGGCTGGGTCAGGCTAGGGGAAGGAATTGAGAAAGGAAGGCGCCACCTTCTTTGGGTGCTGAAGTTTCCTGGGGGGGGCATGAGGATCAGATGGAGGTGAGAAAGGGGACACATTTGTGGGGGGGGTATTTGAAAGCAGACAGGTGTAGTCGTGTGGACCCTGGGTGGCCGTCCCCCCACCCCCACCATGCTGTCCTAGGTGGTGGGCGCCCCTCCCAGGTGGGGACGGCGGCCCGGCCTCACACAGACTGGGAGGGGTGCTCAGTGTGCTAACATTTTGCTTTTTTTTTTTACTGTGTTTTAGGGTTTGGTCCTTTTGGGGAGCACACGGTGAACGCCAGCTGGATTGCTGTGCAGGTAAAGTCAGGTCTGGAGGGTACAGGTGAGGCTTGGAGCTGGGTTCCCCACGATGCCATCTGGCAGCAGAGAAAGTCTGAAATATGTAACGCTGTCACATCTTTTCAGATAGCCACGGACAGGGCTATCCTTTGTTAAGTGCTTGTGTTTTTTGTTCTTTTTTTTTTTTTTTTTTTTTTTGATGGTACCAGGATTTGAACTCAGGGCTGCACACTTGCTGGACAGGCGCTCTACCACTTGAGCAGCTCCACCAGCCCTGTTTTTTCCTTCTGAATTGAGGTTATAACTTGTGCCCATTGTATGGATGTGGAAATGGAGGTCCCCAAGAAGATAGCGAGGGGGTTCTCTGAGACCTCACAGTCAGGGGCAGGGTGGCATTGCTTCCGAAGTCCCCCAGGCCGGGGTTGGGGGAGTACAGAGCTGGGGGAGGGAGACCAGGCGTGGACAGGAGCGTGGTCGGGTGGACCTGGTTGCTGAAGTGGGGCTTCTGTACCCCGGGGAGCCATCCCAATACAGAACCCGTCTCCTTTTCATGTAAAAATCTTTCCTGTTTACTCCATCACTGTGACCGTGAATGTCCCCAAATGGCCAGCTGAAGCTTCCTGGATGTGTCCTTTTTTTCGATGGGTGCTCTGAGGTGGGGAGAGCAGACGGGGGAGGTGGAGGGGGTCTGTCCTAGTGTCCTGAGACGGGGTGTCTGCCAGATGGGGCATTTAGAGAAAGGAGGGAGAAAGAGAAATATTTGTCCCTTCCATAAATGAGCCATGCGGATTAATCGTAGCCCGTTAGCTAAGTGACGTAGGGACACCAGCTTGCACCGGACTCGGGGTGTGGAGGGAAACCCCACAAAGCCCCAGAGCACCCTTCTCTTTTCTCACCTCCAGCCCCAGACCTCAACGTCTCAGCCACTTGCCCCATTTGTCCCACTCCACCCTGCAGGCAGCCGCGGGGCCGGGGTCCCGGGACTGTGCCAGGCCCGCTCTGCACCCCGCTCCCTGGAGCCCCAGACAAAAAGAGGCAGCGCAGCTCTGGGGCCGAGCGCGCCCGGCTTTGTGCTTCTCAGACAGGAGCCTTTGCGGGGCCGGGTGGACACAAAGCCACCGTCTGAGACCCCGGGCCACACGCTGCCATCTGCATGCAAATGCGGACAAAGTCAATTCAAGCATCTTTGGGTTCCACGGCAGCTTTTCATCCTGAGCCAAGGGGAGACACCCCGGCTCTGTCCCCGTCCCCAGGCCTGTCCTCTTGCTCCCAAGTTTATGAAGTAGGGAGACAGGGTTCACCACTTTATCCCAAAGGACCTTCACCTTCTCAGATCTGACGCCTTCCCCTCAAAAGAGGAAAAAAAAATAGTGGAAGTCGGGGGCACGGTGGCCACCCCTGTAATCCCAGCACTGGGGAGGCTGAGGCGGGAGGATCGAGAGTTTGAGGCCAGTGTGAGCTACAGAGCCGGACCCTGTCTCAAAATTTACAAAAAAACAACATACTGGTGAGAGCACTTCTCTGCTAATGGAGTTTCTTTTTTGTTTTGGTGGGACTGGGATTTGAACTCAGGGCTTCACACTTGCAAAGCAGGCGCTCTAACACAAGCCACACGTCCAGTCCCTGTGCCTCTGGTTATTTTGGAGATGGGGGTCTCAAGAACTATTTGCCCAGGTAGCCTCAAATCATGATCTTCCAGGTCTCACCCTCCCAGGTAGCTGGGATTACAGGCGTGCACTACTGCCCTGGGTTCTCTTTTGCTTCCCCGACGACCGAGGCTTGAGTGTTGAAAGGTGTCGCTGTGCTCTGATCCATCCCTTCAGGCCACATGCCTGGGCATCCTGGGTGTCATGCCAATCTGTGGACGTCTGTCACCTCCCCTACAGAGGACAGTGGCACTTTTTGTTCCTGCCTGTTGTTGCAGCTGTCAGAAGCCCAGGGGGCCATGGGTGGCAGGGACCCTGCTGTGTCTCTCTGTCTCTCTCTCTCTCTCTCTCTGTCTCCTGACCCTCCCTCCCAGGGTCCAGCAGAGCAGCCTGTTTCCCCCCAGTTGAGGAGGTGGGCGTTGTGGGGCTGTCAGTGAGCACCCCTTATTCCCCAGGACAGTGGTGTCCTCAGCCCTGTCCCAGGAGGGTGGCGGGTGGGGGGCTGTGGGTCTCCGTCTCTTCCTGGGAGGCTCAGGTGGGTGTCAAGGGCCGGGAGCCCCTGGTTGGGACCTGTGCGGTGTCCCCTGCCTGGAAGGGTCACAGACCGCGGTGACATCCGGGGACAATGACTGCCGCAGCGAGTCTAGACAGACCTGCAAAGCATATTACCAGTGAACAAAGAGGGCCTTTGTGGCGGGGTCAGGGAATCGGTCCGACGCTGGCCGCGGCGGGGTCTGTCAGGTAGCCGGGTGGACACAGTGTGGCGTCTGGGGCCCCAGCCCTTGCCTTTCACTTCCACCGTGCGCTCAGGTGCAGCCATCCCTGCTCCCCAGGTTCCCCAAGAAGAGCCCCCCACCCCATCGGGACACGTCCAGAGGCACAGAACGAGCCAGGTCACGGCTTCCTCCGAGCGCCCGCGAACCCGACGGCGTCCCCTCCCTGTGGCCCATTCCAGGAAGGAGTCCCGTACATCAAGCAGAGGTGCACAGCTCAGTGTCCCCGTCCCCTCCAGTCCGGCCCCCAAGATGGAAGGCATTTCCGTCCACCCAGAATGTTCCCTGCAGCCGCCCTCTTCCCTGTCCCCATCCTGCCCCACAGGTAGCCGCTGTCCCCAGCTCGGTCACTGGTGCCAGGCAAGCGCTCACCACTGAACTGCACCCCAGCCATTTTGTTTTTTTTTTTTAATTTTTCGTTTTATCTTTTGCAATCGTGGGATTTGAACTCAGGGCCCTTTGGGCTTTAGTTAGCTTTCAGGTATGGTCTTGCGTTTGTGCCTGGGTTGGACCAGGACAGGGATCGTCCTGCCTTTGCCTGTCCTGTAGCTGTGATTACAGACATGACCACCAAGTCCAGCTCGTTGGTTAAGATGGGGTCTTGCAAACTTTTTTGCCTGGAAAGATGATCCTCTTGGTCTCTGCCTCCTGAGGAACTGGAGGTTTGGTTTTTTTTTTTTTTTTTGCCTATTTGGGGGATGTTATAGGTGGGGACTCAGAGGTCACCGGGAGCAGAGATGAGGACAGGAGCTGGCACAGGCTTAACCTGTGGGAGGCCATGGCGACCATCCCCAGCTCCAAACAAACAAGCAGAAAGGGTAAGGGGACAAACCCCAAGGCTCCTTGAAACGCCAGCTGACTGATTCGGGAACCGGACACAGTGGCCCCCCTGTGACCCCAGCACCCGGGAGGCGGAGGGCGGCGGGTCCCAGGCCCGCCTCGGCTGACAGCGAGACCCCGTCTGAAAGGCACACAGAAAACATTGTCACCACGGCAGCTTTCACGGAGGGGACGTTTTTATCATCCGAGAGCGAGTCCTGCCTGCCCCCTTCTCTTTCACACCACCGCCACTATTTTTTGTTTTTATTTATGTTTTATGTTTTGGTGACCGTTTTCAGGAGCCAAGCCTGGCCTTGACCTTGATCTCCTGCCACCAGAGACAGGTGCAGATGGCTCCAGCACTGCTGTCACTATGCTGTCACTTTGGTTACAAAGTGTCCCACTGTCAGTTTGTCGTTACAAAGTGTCCAGTGCACCCCGTGCAGGGCCTGGCATCGGCCATGTTTCCAGAAAACCTGGCTTTGCGTCCAGGTCTGGCGCTCCGACCCCTGTGTCCCCATCAATCCTGTGACGTCACCCACACGTGGGTTCCTGGCAGGGGGTCCTCCTTCCAGACTGGGGGTCCCCGTGCCTGTCTGGGGCCAGCTCCATCTTCCCCAGTGCGAAGGTGACTTTGCTGCTGTTTCCGAGACTGGTGACTAAAGGTCACTTTCCAGACTGCTGAGCGGGCCGCCATGGGTGCCAGGCCCCCTGCTGAGAACCGGCGCCCAGCTCTCTCTGGCTCTTGGCCTCCTAGCAGAGTCCAAATGGCGGCTGAAAACCAGATGGGGCCCAGTTAGGGAGGCCGAGACCCAGGATCCCGTAGCCAGGAGTTCAAGGCCAGGCTGAGAGCACCGAGGTAGCGCGCAGACTGCAAAAGGAAATTTGTTAGGTGTTATTCTTTTTCTGGTGGGACTGGCCGCTCCGTCCTCGGCCCCCAGGTGGCGCTGGCTGCTGATCTACAGAGAAATGCAGGGTTTATTTCCTTTGCTTCAGTTACTCGCAGTCAACCACAGTCTGAAACTATGAAAATAAAACTTACAGAAATTATAGGCCAGACGTGGTGGGTCACGCCTGTAATCCCAGCTGCTTCTGAGGCTGAGATCGGGAGGATCGCGGTTTGAGGCCAGCCTGGCAAATAGTTCTCCAGACCCCACCTCCAAAATAACCAGAGCCAAACGGACTGGAGGAGTGGCTCAAGTGGTAGAGCGCCTGCTTTGCAAGTGCAAATAAGCCCTGAGTTCAAATCCCAGTCCCACCAAAAAAAAAAAAAAATCCCAACATAAACAATTACTAAGTTACAACTTACCTGCTCTTTGGAGTGGCTTTGTGACATCCAGCGCTGTCCACTTCATCTGGGACACAAATCATCCCCGTGTCCAGCACGTCCACGCTGTGGACGCTACCCTCCCGTTAGGCACTCATCAGCCAACTCACTTGCCACGTGGAGTGTCACAGTGTCACGCCAGCATATTTCACTTAGTAATGGCCCCGAGCAGAACTGCACACCGAGGTCGCTGCGGGTTATTTTTTAGATAGGGTCTCGCTGTTTGCCTGGACCGAGATCCTACTTGTGCTTCACTGCGTAGCTGGGATCACAGGCGTGAGCCGCCACACCTGGCCGCGCCTGGGAGCCTGGAGGCTGGGCGTTGTGCGTTTTGCCTCTTTGGGTCCTGGGACTGCTCTTGACGTTTGTCTGGGTGCTCGCGGGCAGCAGGGTCCACAGCCACGTGGGTCCCTTCAGCATCGCGGCAGCGTCCTGCATGGATTGCACTCATCTCTAGTGACATAGAACCCTGTCCCCCAACTTTCTGTCCCCAGAATAAGCACTGGGAAGAGGTTTGTGTTGGCCCCCAGCTTTGCAGGTTTCAGTCCCTGGTCCCTTTGGCCCCATTCTTGAGGGCCTGTAGTGGGGCAGCAGGTGGTGACAGGAGCATGACTATGACATAGAGAAAATCCCTCACTTCCAGGGACGGGACCAGACCCGGGCCCCAGTCTTCAAGGACAGATGGGGGGGGGGAGGCTTCATGGCAGGGGCGTGGCTGTGACTGGACGGGCGTGGTTAACAAGCTGGGGGCGTGGCTGTGGCTGGGTGGGCGTGGTTGCGGCTGGGTGGGTGTGGTGGTGGCTGGATTGGGGCGTGTTGGACTGGGGGTGTGGCTGTGTTGGGCTGGGGCGTGGCTGTGGCCGGGTGGGCGTGGCTGCGGCTAGATGGGGGCGTGGTTGTGGCTGGATGGGGGTGTGTTGGACTGGGGGCGTGGCTGTGTTGGGCTGGGGCGTGGCTGCGGCTGGGTGGGCGTGGTTACAGCTAGATGAGGGCTGGTTGTGGCTGGATGGGGGCGTGTCGGACTGGGGGCGTGGCTGTGTTGAGCTGGGGGCGTGGCTGCTGGATGGGGGCGTGGCTGTGTTGGGCTGGGCTTGGCTGCTGGATGGGGGCGTGGTTGTGTTGGGCTGGGGCGTGGCTGCGGCTGGGTGGGCGTGGTTACGGCTAGATGGGGGCTGGTTGTGGCTGGATGGGGGCGTGTCGGACTGGGGGCGTGGCTGTGTTGAGCTGGGGGCGTGGCTGCTGGATGGGGGCGTGGCTGGCGGCCTGGGGCATGGCTGGGGCGTGACTGCAGTGGCAGAGCATCTGCCTCATAACACAAGGTCCTGAGTTCACATCCCAGCTGGGCACCGGTGGCTCACGCCTGTGATCCCAGCTACTCAGGATGGAGACATCAAGAGGATCGTGGTTCAAAGCCAGCCCCAGTCAAATAAGTTGGAGACCCTTCACAAGTGCCTACTCCGGTGTGCGTGTCTTTATTTATACAGCGTTGTTTAGGGAACTATGACAAGGAAAACCCCGTATGTGTTGACGACGGTCACAGTCACCGTAGGCTAATGACAGCTCATGTCGTGCAGGTGGCTGTGTCCCTGGGTGTGGATGCCCTGGTTTGGTCTCCGGGTGTGAACCACTGGTGTCCAGCTTGATCTTTGTTTTTTTTTGAGACAGGGTCCAGGGTGGCCTGGAACCCGTGATCCTCCTGCATCAGCCTCCCCCACGTGCTGGGCTCACGGGCCAGGCCATCGCACCCAGCTTGAGTTACCTGGCTTCTGGAGTGGTCACTTGTCCCCTGGGAGTGTGTGGCCCTTGCAGCCATCACCAGGACCCTTGTCATCTCCCACAGGAGCTGGAGAAGCTGGGCCTGGGAGATGGCGTGGACCTGCACGTGTACGAGATCCCCGTGGAGTACAAGACGGTGCAGACACTCATCCCCGCCCTGTGGGAGAAACACAGTCCGCAGGTGCGTGGACGGTGGCGCCTGGCTCCGCCTGCCCCGATGGCGCGTGACGGGTGTGGCGCTTCTTTTTGAACCCCGTGACCTTGTCCTCAAATGCACATGGCTGTCTGGGTTGCTTTGGAGATGGGGGTTGGGGGTCTGCACAGCCTGGCGCTATTCCCCCTGCAAAGCCAGCTTGGGTGTGCTTGTGACCGTTAAGGGCTCAGTGGGGAGTGCTTGCCTAGCATGCAGGAGGCCCAGCACTGTAACAAATTAAAAAATAATGAACATAAAGTGAACGGCCCAGGGTGCGCTTCAGGAAGCGTTTGATCCAGGTGCTGAGCAGGTGTTACCCACACCCTTTCTTGGCCTCTCAGCCTGGCTTTGCCTGGGGCAAGGGCCTCCTGGGGGCAAATCAGCCACTGAGCATGGAGAGAGAGCACCTGTCCTCTAATCGCCTCCGTCATCGCCTCCGTCTGCGGCCAGAGCTAATGCTCACTGGCCAGCTTGCTTCCCACGTTGGCCCCTGAGCCAGTCACTGTGGAGAGGAGAGGAAGGGCTGTCCTGATTTGCCAAGCCTGGGTCACTGTGTCCCTCCAACAGACAGGGCAAGGACCCCTTCCTGGGATGAGTAGGGGATGGGAACTCCACCCGGGCAGGAGCTGTGGCCTTTGTCACTCATGGTGGGAAGGAGGCCACAGGTGTGGGGCCCAGCCAGCAGGGGACCCCAGGGGCCAGCAGCAAGGGGCAGGGGGTTGACCTGGGCAGCTGCCAGTGAGAGGTGAGGCCTGGGCCCAGCTGGGCTGCACTTCAGGTCTCCAGGGCTGATCAGGGGGTTTTCCTTCCTAAGGAGGCCCTCCTGCACTCACAGGGGGACCCACTTATTTATTTAGGGGTGCTGCAGTGGAGCCCAGGGCCTCACACATGCTAGGCAAGCACTCACCACTGAGCTGCACCCCAGTCCATTTTGCTCTGGTTATTTTGGAGATAGGGTCTTGCCCGGGCTGGCCTCAAACCTCGATCCTCCCAATCTCAGCCTCCCAAGTAGCTGGGATTACAGGCGTGAGCCGCCAGCGCCAGGCTGGTTTCAGTTCCAGCAGCGAGAGGCCCAGGCAGAGCCCAGGGAGGAACCCGCTGTCTCCTTGGCCTGGGGCCACCTGGAGGCCATGCCCAGCTGTGCTAAGGCCTCGTCCATCCATCTGTCTCCAGCTAGTGGTGCATGTGGGGGTGTCCGGGATGGCCACCACCGTCACCCTCGAGAAGTGCGGGCACAACAAAGGTTACCAGGGCCTGGACAACTGCCGCTTCTGCCCTGGCTCCCAGTGCTGTGTGGAGGATGGGCCCGAAAGCATTGACTCCATCATTGACATGGACGCCGTGTGCAAGAGGGTCACCACGCTGGGCCTGGACGTGTCGGTGACCATCTCGCAGGACGCCGGCAGGTGTGGGACTGGGGGGCGGGACGTGGTGTGGGGGAGGGCATTGGGAGGCTGAGGCAGGAGGGTCGTGGGTTCCAGGCCAGCCTGGGCTACGCAGCCAGACACTGCCCGGCTCCAGAAAATGGGCGGGGCCAAGGGCTCACAATCCCCCCAGGCCACGCCCCCAGTCGCCTAGCTTCCTCTCGCTAGGCCCCGCCTCTTAAAGGTGCCACCTCCTCCCAGTGGCACTGCAGGCAGGGGACCCGGCCTCCAGCACGTGGAGGTCCAGACCGCAGGGGTCCCCGAGCGGACCGTCTGACCTGTGGCTGTCCTCGGATCAGGTACCTGTGTGACTTCACCTACTACACCTCCCTGTACCAGAGCCACGGCCGCTCCGCCTTCGTCCACGTGCCACCGCTGGGCAAGCCCTATGACGCCGGCCAGCTGGGCCGTGCGCTGAGGGCCATCATCGAGGAGATGCTGGACGTGCTGGAGCAGTCGGAGGACAAGGTCCGCTGCTGCCACCAACCCTGAGGGTCACGGTCCCAGGAAGCCTGCGCCGGGGCCGCCCAGAACGAGAACGCGCCACCGTCCTCTCTCCTGTGCACGCGCTCTGGCCCCAGGGGTGGCCGAAGACGTTTTCCCTGGCTCCCATGGCTTTGGGGACACCCTGGGATGGACACTGGCAGTGGCTCTAGATTTCCACAGAGAACCGAGGCGGGCAGATCTGGGCCCTGCCGTCCTCGCCGCGGCCCACCTGTCCCCTCGGTTCGGCACGTCTGCGGGTGACGGGGGCCCATAGTCGCTGTGCCCATGGCCAGACCTTCTCAACTGTGAAAGTGTCCAAGTCCGTGCACAAACCGTGTCCCCGAAGCCTGGGTGGCCCCGGCCATGGCCACCGTGGAGCGTGGCTGGCTTTGATGTCTTTCTCTTTTTCTTTTTTTTCTTTTCATGTTGCTTTTTGAGACTGGGTCTCACTGTGCAGCCCTGGCTGGCCTCGAACTCTTGCCTCAGCCTCCCGAGTGCTGGGGTCTCTGAACTTCCTTCTCTTCTTTCTCCCTCTGCAGAGGCGCCGAGGAATTTAAATGTCCTTGGCTAAAACTCGGGCTTTCTCCCTTCGGGGGCTGTGGCCT